CGGGAGCAGCAAGCACCGCGGTGGCAGTGACCTTCTGCAGGGAGCCGCGCTCGCCCCCGCCCTCTCTTGCTGAGAGTCAAACAAGTCCATGAGGAAACTGAGAACTTAGAAAAATAATAATAATAATAATAATAATAATAATAAAAGTGCGCAACAACAAAGCCCCTGCTCCGTGTCTGGATGACTTCTGGGCTGATCAGCATCACCTAAAGACAAACTTTGGTGACGCCCCGGGAGCGGACGTGCTTTCCCACCGCGCTGCGGGCACTGGCTTTGTGAAGCGCAGCCCGGGTCTCCGCCCGAGGAGGCGGGGGGGACGCGGAGCCCCGCAGCCCCTGCCCAGCGCCCGACCTTTGGGCTCGGGGGTGTTCTGGGGTAGGGGCTGCTTGCCTGCCTTGAGAGACTGAGGCTCGGGACTGGGATTTTAATCGTAACTGTTTCCTATTTATTGAGAGGAGCGGGTTTTTCTTTCACAGCATCATCTGTTTTGAAGAAAGGAGGGAGGACGGGGGGGGCTTAAAGCTAAAGAAGTAAGTCCTCTCTCTGAAGCAAATGCCTTTTGCGTTCTCCAGATGACCTTTTCTGAAAATGCAACCTCTCCAGCTGACCGATTTTTATTTTGACTACAAAGTGTATGAAACTGAGCCCTAACTTCTCCACAAACCCTAGGATGTGCACTTCTGGGATTAGAAATATGGGGCATCTGTTGTCACCTCTCCTCTTGAGCCTGGCAGCAGTTTTTTCCAAAGGTAAGGCTCGGTCTCTTCTGTCTGTTTCACTGCATCTTGCTTCTTGCTTATTTTGTATACACAGCTCCTGTCTGTTGAATGTTGATACCCACAATTCATGACAGAAAGACAAGAGGGGAGTCATGTGGTTGTAAAAAACATAGATTTCTTGATGGGAAATCCAGAGTGGCAGGATTTTTTTTTCTTGATTGACTGTGACAGTCTGCCCATTTATTTAATAAGGCATTTGCTGTCTGCCTATTGTACTTTTGATTATGTAGTAGATGCTGGTGATGAGCTGAGCAGTTATTCAAACAGCTTTGGGTTGTGAAGGGTTTGTTATCTGGAAATCTGAAGTCTTCAGGGGTACAAGCTATTGGAGCCAGCTGCCCCTCCGTTATCTTCTATGTAATTTTTCAAACTATAAATCCTGTACCTCAGACTGGCTGGCAGTGTTTTACTGGACCAGAGAAGTATGTGCCTGCTGAAACGTTTAAAAGCTGTGATGAGAGCCTGAACCAGGTATCTGATATTCTGCATGCTGAACAGAGTTTGAATGTCCTGACAGCATGACTTCACACGACTCAGTGATATCTTCTTGTTGCCCTCGAGTGTGTGTACAGTAAGAATTAGAAAACCAGCATATACAAAATACACACATTTTTTGTTGTAGTTAAACCCTCCTTTTAACTTAGTTTTAATTGATGATTTCAGCCAATAGGTAAATGCATTTTTGCAGTACTTAATTTAGATGATGCTGAGCAGTCCTGTGGAATGTAAACTAGGAGAAATACCAATCTCTACTGAGAAGATGTGCATCAACAGCTATATTTTGGCAGGAAAACAAAATTAAAGTTTGCACATGGTTAGTTAGAGAGGAATAATCTGTGATTTTGTAAACATATGAATTAAGAATTCTGCTTATAAACATCAATATTAAAAAAAGATACTAGTTATTTTTAACACCTCTCTCTACTTCCAGATATCAGCACTCTTCTAAGTGTATTATTTTTACTGATTACTTTGTATCCAGAACTGAACTTACTGACAGAAGGCAAAACACACAGCTACGTATTTCTGCGGTGGTTCCCTGCATCAAATTTACTTTTCCTTTTTTCTTTAGAACAGTTTTAGAATGAAAGGAACAAAATTAGGAGTCTCCTCAAATGTTACCTAAATGCAGTGCCTACATAAGTA